ATAGTAAGTTCGCTGTTCAATCCACCCTTCCAAAAGAAAATATAAAAACGTCCATAATACTAGAATACTATCTTAAGCATTAAAGAGATCGAAAAAATACAATGCTTATTTAAAATGAGAAACGTATTTTTTTCGAGTTTTAATTGAGAATGATACGCACGAGTTAGGGCAACATAATTTATTTTGATATGTAAAAAAAGGATTTTAAAACGACACGATAATCGCACATTTTTTCATTTATCGTATATATAAATGGTCGCAGATGTGTTGTTCGCGCTTTTCACAATAGCAATAAATTCAAATTAGCTTCCATTCGCATAAAATATATAATTTATACGCATCAAATTGCACGAACTTACTTGAAGCGATCTATCAAACACTTGACCATACTCTGGAAAACAACCTGAACGTGATTGCTTTCTTCGAAACCACTCGACACTATGTTTGATTTGATCTTTGTCAACAAATACATATCTCCGGGCTCTCGCAAATGAGCGAACAACAAAAGCTGTTAACCTAAAAAAAACAATTACAAAGATTAATGCATGGTAAATCATATAAAAATGCTGTATTAAGAAAAAGTTAATCGATTTAAATAAGATAATAAGATATATATCTGCCCCTCGAGGTACGGGTAAATGTTATTTACATTTTTAAAATGAAATATCTATAGAATTTCTATTGTTCGCTTTTCTTAATTATTGTGAATTCGAAGGATGAACATAAATTATATAGGATTCCAATGTTCTAGAATTAAGAAAATCGAACAATAGAAATTTTATTTTATAAGAGAGGCACAATAACCATGAAACTATTGACTTTATGGATACATATTAACTTAATAGATATTTTGATACCGGGACTTAACCCAACAAAGATAAACGAAAATAAAGGCAACAACAAATTGCGTTGTAGGTCGATCTCCCCATTGCAATATTTGAATGTGAAAAGTTGGTTTTAAATTATGTGATTGGAATCATTTTCATCTGAAAGGCAAAAATCAGAGGCAATATATGACCTGAACAGCAACGTTGTTTTTAGAAAAAAAAACTGAATTTAATATTATCTATATGTGATAACAATTTTTGCCAATAACTAATTTCAACAGTTTCGCACATGCACTTGAAACGCTCTTCATGCTGCCATTAACCTTAAAACGTAGGACCAACTAGGCCATTATAGTCCTTTTTTGGATTTGAAATTTGAGTTTATTATTTTAACTTCCAAGATTAGAACATTCTTTAAAACAATTCATGCAAGTATATTTTATTTAAGAATTAAAAAACGAGCGTGCCTTTATGGTGTAAATGAAGATGGGGGAATGTTGGGAGAATACGAGAGAAGCTTGTAAAACACGAGGCGTAGCCGAGTGTTTTACAAGCTTCTCGAGTATTCTTCCAACATTTCTCCGAGTCCATTATTACACCATAAAGGCACGCGACGAGCTTTTTTAATTCTTTTATAATATAAGAAGAAATTACAGGGCAACAACAAATTTAATTTATTTGATCAATAATGAAATTCTCCTTACATGTTATTTAAGATGTTGTTTAGCAACAAAAACTTCAAAGCCAGAAACGTGCATTATGGCCTCACAATGCACGCGCGGTAGCCAATCAAATTGCTCGTTATATCATACTATATTATAATTATCTATAAATATCGCGTCAAGAAAGTTTCCTTCTTTCTCTTTTGAGTAATTTGTTTAATGAAATTATAGGGGTTGGAAGATTAATCACTGATCACTTACATCATGCTTCCTTTACTGTCGGAGTCTCCAAAGGCACTGTACGAACCACTTTTCCTTTTGTACGTTAACTGTCTTTGATAACCTCCGGGGAAAAGAATAGCGTTGTCAGTAGAAATATGTTGATAAAAATGATGAGGTGTAGGGAAAATTGGTTTTACCGTAACGCCTAGGTAGGAAGCTCAGGAATTTCAGAATTCGTATATATAATTATATAAGATTAAACTAGCTCAATATTTCTCGAATACCAGAGGATATATAATAAACTGCATCGTCTTTTATTTTCTTTGTAATTTGATTTGTGTTCGTGAGATAATCCATGATGTAAATATTGGGAGCAAATTTAGCCATGTTCTGTTCTCCGCAACCATACGGCATTGCTAATAGTCCGTCAAGATTTGTTAGGGCAGGTCCCATCATATCACCTGTAGAAAAAAACTTCAATCAAAACGAATTCAAAATTAGCAACCATAAAATTTTCCTGGTTGCAACCCTTTTCATACAATTGTGTCTATACATTAGATCGGATGGCGTAAAAAGGTTCAGACGTTTACTGCATGCAAAAAACCTATAAGACTATATATATATATATATATATATATTATATATATATATATATAATATATATATATATATATATATATAATATTATATAATATATATATATATATATATATATATAATATATATATATATATATATATATATATATATATATATATATATATATATATATATATATATATATATATATATATCATAACTTAAGTATATGTACATAGTTTACCAGATTCATTAAAGGCTAATGTCACTTAAACTTAGCGTTTACAAATATGCTTTCTTCTCTATAAAAAAATCGAACAACTGAACCTTTTCGCGTCTTTCGGTAAATTCAACTATTTTTCATAGCAAAAAAATATGGGCGTTTTTTTTTAAAAAAGAGCGCTGTGATGTATGCTACACTTGAATTTTTTCAATTGTTTCACATTTTTCTTATACTCACCCCGGCCCTACTCATTTTGTCATCGTGCATCTTTTCTAATCTGATATTGGCGAGATCGGGGAAATATTAGGCTACGGTGTTTCGTTTTATTTTTCTTAGCTTTTGACAAAATTACACCTACTACACTCTGTTATAATTAATAAAATTTTAGCTACCTAAGAAATGAAATCTATAAGAATGCTCGTTGAAAAAAAAATGTACAAGCAATGCTTAAAATAGAATGCAACTTTATTGATTTTAATGCAAGGTATTTATACTTAACTAGTGCATGGTAAAGCTTTGGTTAAAATTGAAAGCTAATAGCAGGCGGAAACAGGCGATATATACATGAAGCTTTAAAAAAATGAAGGCTGTTTAATTTAATGACTTACCAATAAGCGATATTTTTGGTAGCACAGATCCTGAAATGATGTTGGTTGGTAGCGGTAGGTCAATCGTTTCAGCATATTTTTCTGGTAAAGGAGAAGTTACATATTGTAATTTAATTTTTTTAATGGACGACTTGCGCTTTAGACTAATTTTCTTGCCTCGGCAATAAAAAGGACATATTCTGAAAGAGCTTACTAAAATAAGTAAAACTGCAAAGTTTAACTGCGAATTGTTGTGAAATACGGAAAATATACCCATGCGAAGTTCTCGATTTTTGTATACTTTTGTATTACGATCGAAAGTTTGTAACTAATTAATTTTAGTTACACATTTCCGCACGTAATACACAAAGGTATACAAAATTTGCCAGCTTCGCATGGCTATATTTTCCGTATCTTACAAAATTTCGCAGCCAAACTTAGCAGTTTTACTAATAAAAGTAAGATCTTTCTGAATTTTTTCCTCTAATTACTGCGATCAAAAGTTAGTCTAAAGCGCAAGTCGTCCATTACTAGAAATACATTCATACTTAAACCCCCGGCTCCCGAGGTTCCCTTTATAGATTTCAATAACCTTGAAAAAATGTTTGTCATGCATTTACGCAATCTCATTCCCTGAGCCCGCGATCCTTTAGCGAGAAAGCAGAGGTTCTGAGATAACCCATACCGAAAGCCAGAGTTCCTGGTACTTATCTCCAGTATATTTCCTTACATATTATATCCAATTGTCTTACTTTTTCTCGCTAGAGGATCGCGGGTTGCGGAACGAGATTAGCATAAAATAATCGCATTTAATGACGAGCTTAGTTGTTACCAAACTTCCCTCAATATTTGGTTTACCATTTAAAGAAGCGCAAAAGAATGTTCCTCTGGTGTATTGCTGCTTTATTCCCTCTGGCTAGAAAAGGAAATTTCTTGCAATAACCGCGAGAAATTTTCGTAAATAAGAAAAAAAACATGAATCGTCGGGCTAAATTGATGTTTACCTCAACCAGCAATGTTCTTGTGACAGCGTCAACTGCGTAGAGAGTGAACTTAGGGCAAAGCTTTGCTTGCGAAGTCGTGGCTTTAACCGTAATTGGTATATGACCAAGTTTAGTGGGAATAACATTGAATTTCGTAGACTTTCCCTCATCACTACACACGCACATCTTGCTGATGTGAATTGATGTAACTTTAAAATCACTGGCTTTGCGAATTAATTCTAATTTAATCTGAAAACATGGAAGTTTTTATTTAATTAAAAAAAATTCAATTTCAAGGCAGGCAGGCAGAGAGACAGACGGACGGACAGACGGACGGACAGACGGACGGACATGGTGGATATGTTGATAGATTTGTTCGAACGATATATTATTTCATGATTATTAATCAAAACACTTACTGGAACACAGGATGACATGTAGTTTATAACTGTCACTGTGATGGGTATTTCTTCCCCACGGATTACGGAATATGGCATCGTGATGTGAGCAAAGAAAGGTTTGAATGCTTTCAACGTTGCTTGATTTGAGATCCCCATACCGTACAAAGATGACATCGCAAATCCGTTTGCAACCCAACTGGTGATGGCATCAGGAACTTTCACTTCCATCGCATGTATACCGGAAGTGTCGCTACAGGGAAAAATTACCGCCTGCGTTAATCCCTACGCCGGCGAGAGTAATAATTTTGTGCGAACACTATATTACAGAAATTACACACGGGTTTAACAGAACATAGCGGAATTTAAAGTTATCCAAATTCTATCTAATGTACGGTGGACGAATATGAATATGAGTAAAAACAATTCAATTAGAATGGAATTTTGAACCAGTCTTGTGAATTGTTTTTTAAATTTTAATGCAAATTAAATTGACGTGGGGTTTTTGCATGCATGTATTTATAACATAACAATATTTACTTTTTTTAGTTTGATGTCTGTCCATAACCATGTCTCCGGAAAATATTTACGAACTGCTACTGAGAACTTCTTTGCAGGTTTTTTTTCCTTCTTTTTAGGGGAAGTGAATTTTTTTTTTGACTTCCATTGAACCTTTCTTGGAACCGATGGAGCGGGGCGGCTGGAACTGCTGGCAGCCGACATAAGTTTCATAAAGCCTATAAGATATTTTTTGTAAAAATCGTTATTTTATTATTAATTAACTAAGTTCTATTCATTCTTTCTCACTACTGTACGTTGCGAAATATTTTTTGGATTTGAGAGCTGGGATACAGACAAGAATTTTTTAATAAGGGCAAGGGCATAGGAGCAAATTAAAATCGACTATGATCCTATATAATAATTATTATTTTATTCTTCAAACATTTTCCTTTTTTATAGCTATTCTCAATATATTTTGGTAAGATGAAAAAGTATAGTAGCAATGTATTATATTTCCTCAAGCTGTATGTGATGGCATGCACTATATGAGCAAATTTTTGCTTAATTGTGACTATACATGCTTGCACCTACAGTCTTTTCGAACAATAAGAATTATTTTACAATACATTACTGCTTATTATTGGAACAATTATATAGTAATGTTATGGTCCGCAGCCTGGTGGGATTTATTCAATAATTTTTCTCTATCTTACCACCATCATGATGAGGCAAAAATGCATTTCTCCGGCGAGATGTACTCCTCCAGTTATGCTTTGTTCTTCCTTCATAAAAATATCGTCGCCAAAATCTAATTCGACGTGGCATTGGTCGGGGGCGAGGACGAATGCAAGGCCGAGTAAAAATCCTCAAATTTGAAACAAAATTGACACCAGCATTCTGAAATTAAATGTTTTTTACATATATATACATATAATAAATGTTTACAGGCCTATATACCATTAACCGAAGTCGAAAATTGCGTTCCTTATGCATAATTACCTTACCGCATATGCAAATAACGCTAACTATAAGTTCTACAATCTACAAAGGAAAACGCTTTGTCTTGCGTGAACTACACTGTTAATTTTGAAGTGTTAAAATAGCACCACCGTAGGTGCCAAATCAACACCATGCGGTGGTGTTAAATAGAAAGTGCTATTTTGGCACCAACTTCGGTGCTAATTTAACACCACCAAATCTGGGATAACGCTAAAAGTGTCAATATGACACCATATTACCAGCACCATTGTTAGGTGCCAAAATGACACCTCTTTTGCCGACGGAAAGTGTTAAAATAACGCCATATAGGGAGTTAAATATGGGGTGTCAAAATAACACCAAATGGCGGATCGGCCGGGAAAGAGCATGTTTGTTTGTTTTTAAGTTATTGGAAAATAAATTTGTATTTTTGAATGAGATGATTTTGGAACAAAGAATTCCCGTGCGTTTTCGCACAACTATTCATATTTACTTTACCGTAATTTTATGCGTCTTCGCTTGTCTCTTATATTATTGACATAATTTAGCGATATTTTATCCTATATCAACGATTGTCCGTGCTCTATTTTCATACATTAACGATAATCCTTGCTCTATTTTGATAAATTTGATGTTAGAGAGCAAGTTATTTGTTTAAAATCAATGCCTGTGTATGTCTTTTGATAAAATTATTACTGTAAGAAATATAATCTCCTACAGGTTACCTGAGAGTCCCATTTAGCCTGTCATTTTTCAAATTCACATTTATATTTTAGTCAAATAACAAAGTATGTTTCCATAATTTAGTAAAATCATTTTCTTTTGCAAGTAAGGTTTGCAACTGAACACATTCTTTTTTTTTTTGCAGGTAAAGTGGAAGTGAAATGTGCAAGAACAAATTGGTCCATGGTATAGCTGGCAAATTTCAATCAGGAATGCCAAAAATTGGGCCAAGAAGTATGTATTGGTTCTTTCGAACAGGATAGAAACAAGAAACAAGATTAGCTGCACAGAGAATCAGGTAAATCATGCAATTAATATACTATAATTTTCCCAAGGACAAAATTACAATGTCACTTGTAGTTTATTGCCCCAAAATCTGCATTTAGACTGTCTTTATCCAATGCTTAGTGTGCCTATTATAGTTTTGGTAACCTAACTAGATTTTCTGCTATTGATATTTGATAAACAATTTGTTTTTCAAAACAGACATTCAGAGCACAGCTTGTGGTTGCTTTAGGTCTAACTGAAGGAGAATCTCTCCTTTTTATGCTAAGAAACCTTGTGGGCTGATTTGACTTGCTAATAATACTAATGATTATTGATAAATTTATCTTAGGGTTGATGACTCCATATACAGATGAGGACATACAAATAATAAAAATGGCCATGGAAGAACATGCTGGGAAGTGAGTTTTTGTGGATAAATTTATACGAACTTGACATTACTTGTCGAAAATTGTAATGTTGCATTATAAGAACTTGACATTGATTGTCGAAAATTGTAAATAATTGTCTGGTTGTTTTTTGTTAATAGTCCTACAGGAGCAATTGTAAATATGCAACTGTGACCAAATATATTGATTTTTAGTTTCCTTGTATAAGTGTCGTTAATTTTGATTTAGATATGATTACTGATGTTAGAACTGCACATTAAATTGCAGTAGGTAAAAAGGTGCTGCTTTAACACCAAATGTAGTGCTATTTAAACACCCAAAGGTGTTATTCTGACACCAGAATGGGCGTTAATTTAGCACCAGGGATTGGAGTTAATTTAGCACCCAGGTCATGGTGTTAAAATAGCACCTCGACAGGTGTTATTTTTGCCATATTCATTCAACACCTTTTTTGGTGCTAAATTAACACCTTCAAATTAACAGTGTAGATAAGACTGCTAGTGATGTTTGCCGGACTACCTAGGAAGCAGCTGGACAGTATAAACGGCTACAAAACTCCCTACGTGTCAACGTTTTAAAGTGGCTAAGTACTGTACGGTTAAATTAACAAGCATCAATATTCTTTCAATCACCTCAACATACTATCATACTATGAAACAGACCCGGGCGTCGCGTCTTTCATGGTATATCGAGAAACAGCAAAGTGCCCGAAGCAAATACTATTTGCAACGCTGCACGAGGACAAGATGAAACCGTCATTCACTGAAATTAAAGGCGCAATGGCGCTGCTATTACGAATGAAGAAGTGACAAGCAAGAAAATTGCTCAGGTTGTCAAAGATAACGATCACTAACCTAGGAAGGATCTAATGAATATGTGTCCAATCGCTTTTGTCGTTCGGCATGTGGGAATGTAGACGAAGATGACAGCGAGCGACCACCAGCCTACCCACAAACTCCGTATTGGCTTGTCGTTGTTGACACACGCGCTCTTAACCGTTGACGGACTTGGATGTGATTTGGCAATAGAAACGAGAAATCTCGTATAACGAAGCCTGGTAGCTGCATAAAGCGACATAACGACCACATTGCGTTACATTGGACTCATGATGAAAGGTTGTGATTACGCGTTGCATCGTGGATACGTTGATGGTAAACCAGACAGCGCGATGCTTAGGTTTGTGAAGATGATGGAAGTTGAAACATACGTGAACCCATTACTCTTCTCAGAAAAAATTCTGAAAGACATGGCCAGAATAATACACCTGTTATATCTCATCCCTCTTGCGAAATCGTCCCACATATAGAATTCCATGATGATTACATTGAGGTGAGAAGAAGCCATTTCTTTTGCATATCAACGGGCAGCTTTACGGACGGCGTACCCAACTTGCCCTTCAGAAAGATCTCACCTCGCGCGTTCATTCGGTATGACCGTACAACGCCACCACAGCCTCTGTACTTCAAGAGTGCCATGGATAATTCGTTTCCGGACTTAAAACTGAGAATAGCATTGCTGAACAAGTTTTATCAATGCGTTGTCGGTCGACGATTGCCGCAGAAGGTACGAAATTTGTTCGCGTGCGGACCGAGTGATTCAGGGAAAACATCATGGGCGTGTGTCCTGCAGAGAATTGTGTCGTCGGAACCTAGCGCACCCATTACAAAAAAAAATTACCTCTCCACGTCGATGATAAACGAGTCGACAGAACTTTTCATTATCGATGACTGGTCGATGCAAATGATGGACTCCGATCTTGCCAAGACGATTCTACAAGGGCGGGGGGGGGTGGCTTGTGACAGCTGTCAAGCACAAGCAGCTAAGATGTATATGAAACAACACTCTATGCTACATTACCACTAATGCTGTCCTAAACGTCGGAGAGGAGAATGAAAACGTGGAGCGTCCAATCGTTGTTTTCAAAACCAAATCTTTGCCGCAATTAACACCAGGCGTAGAAAAATGGATACATAATAACGCAATGGACTATGTTGTTTGGGTGGCAAATGAGATTAACGACCACATCCATCATGTGCCAGAGAACGAGAGATGGTACGAAAATATAGACGGCCAAGCATCCTTCATAAATGATTACTACATCACACGTACGAAATTTAAAACAAACCGTTTTACTGTAGTAAAATAGAGAGCGCTGTTCTTGAATATGTATTCTTATACATTCCTCGGATCAAAATGTTTGTAGACGAAACAAAATATGAAACAAATAAAATGATATTTTATATTGTAAGCTTGACGGACTTTGAAATTGAAATATAAAAAATATATATATATATAATTTAAAACCAAGTGAAATTGGTTTACACACATGATAGTCTCTCGTGTAGTTCAACATTCCATGATTGGTGTATAATAAGCACGGTACAGTTCGAATAGTATAAGAAGATTTTTCACCCACAGTAGATCGCCATTTGACTAAACCGTTGTAAACAATATCAGTGCGACCTACAAGAAATGAGAGGGGTAGCATCACTCGCGCGTCAGATCCCTCCTGCGCTGTTCATCGTTCTTTTGTCAGAGAAAAGAACGTCACCAACTCGACAATGGAAGACGACTACGCCGAAATTTGCCGCTGACTACTTTCTCGTCATCAGAAGGAGAACTGAGACGTGCGGAAGAGAAATCATGCCGCGACAACGAACTACAGACTGATGAAAAGGATGAAAAAGAAGAAGAGGAACAAGGTGGAGAAGAAGGAGAAGAAGAAGGAGAAGAAGAAGAAGGAAACAACGGATGGAAACATACATGGATGGATGCTGGATGCTCAACAATGAAGTATACCTGGCCAAAGTGTACGAGCACAATTGGAGGTTGGTGAGAGATCATCACGTACATTTGTAAATCTACATGTTTTGTTCGCTTCTTTCTTTATTTATGTTCGGAAACTTTTTTTCATTAGGTTTCCAACAACGTTTTCCAACAATTAGGTTTGCCTCAACGATCCACACTAGCAATCGCCGCACGACGCGATTCGGCCAAGAGAAGGAAAAGGATTTCGATACGAAACCAGATCCGTACATTGATGCGTTGATGCTGATCACCGGTCGCCTTTGAGAGGTATTCGATGTGGAAAAGTTCGTATTCGTTGTGGAAAAGAAGCTTCCACTATAGTGGAGCATTGTTGTGGAACAGCCTTCCCGACAATATACAAAAATTACAATCATTTTCACAGTTTCGCTGCATGGGCTGTGAACGAATACTATAATACTTAATCTGAACTCCCGCACGGTAATCTTGTAAAAAAGTGAAATTTTAACTTGTAGTATTATGTAATTAGTTATATGTAATCATGTATTGTTAAATGTGACCTTCCACGGGAAAACATACGTTAACGCTATTTCGTTCGTTCGAAAATATCGTTCGTTATCCGTTCGTTTGCCGTTCAAACGCTTGAAGCGTTCGTTGAAACGATTTTCGAGATCGTTCATCGTTCGAAATTGCCCGTTCGAACGCTTAGGAAAAAACGTTTGAAAATTGGTCCGAAAGCGTTCAACCGTTTGATTT